TGAGTGGACATTCCCTCCCACCACTACTCCCTCTCCAGTACTCCTGAAAGATGGTGAATAGAACTTGCTGCCCATCGCAGATAGCAAAATCTGATGGCTGCCACTGCCCCAGATCTCTGAAATCCCAGCTAAGTTGCATCCCAATCCAGGCCCAGTCCTACAACTGAAAATGTTGAGAGACTAAAAGTTGAATGTAAACAAACATAACTTAAGAAGTGACTAAACATGTTATAAATAAAACATCATCATTATAAAATGGTTCTTTGAAGTGTTCCTTTTCGGTATAAAACTTCTCTAGTATATTTCAAGGTATATTTGATCCGTAGACAATGCTTCAAATGTATCTATTGTTTAGAGTAGACTATAAATGTTAGTTTCCTCATCGTAAAATGAAGTAAATAATGCTATCCACCACATAGGATTGTCTTGAGGATCAAATGGATTGACATATGTAAAGTGCTTAGAACAATGCTTGGTCCATAGTTACCCTTCAGTTAGTATTGGCTACTATTGTTATTATCATTCATGCATCAAATATCTATCCAGCTTCTACTACATTCCAGGTACTATTCTAGGGACTATAGAAACAGCAGTGACTGAGAGACAAGAAAGGTCCCTGCTCTCATGGAGCAGCCATTCTAGTTGGGGGAGAAAAAATAAATGTATGTCAGGTGATGATAAGTAAAACAAAGAATAATAAAGCAGGTGAAGGAAAATAGGAAGCATAGTGCGTGAGGAAGCTACCATTTTTAATAGGGCGGGTGGTCAGGGAAGTCCTGTCTGATAAGGTAGCATGTGAACAGAGATGGAGGAAGTGAGGTAATAAGCTTGGCAGTTATCTGGGGGGAAGAGTGTCCTAAGAGATTATTGAATCAAGAACTAAGCTAACCAAAATAAGTAGGTCTGCGTTTGTAATAGGGAGTGACAGAGTCCGTGAAGAAGCCATGGCCCACCTAAGATAGGCCTCAGTTCCAGTCATGTGTTGCTATGAGGAAATGTGGACTCAGTGTTGTCAGATCTTCCGGATTTTTTTTTTTAGAAAAAATTGTTAGGGGGAGGGCATAGCTCAGTAAGCATAGCTTAGTATGCACGAGGTCCTGGATTTAATCCTCAGTACCTCCACTAAAAAAATAAATAAATAAACCTAATTACCTCTCCCCAAAATTAAAAAAAATTTTTTCAATTAAAAAAAAAAAGAAAAACTGTATCTTCAATTTTTCACATGAACTGTCCTAAAGTTTGAAACTCTTGTGTAAGCATAAATGCATATACATGTTCATCAAAAGACATGTACAAGAATGTTCAGAAGCATTATTTATAATAGCTCCAAACTGGAAGCTACCCAAGTGCCCATCATTAGAATGGATCAGCTGTGACATAGTAACAATCTCTACACAGCAATGAGAAGCAACCAACTATACTTCACACAACATTATGGGTAAACCTAAGATATAATGTTAGAGACCGACAGAGTGGTTACCCTGGCTGGGTGAGATGCTGGGTTTTTTTTTCTTTTCTTCCTTGATCTGAAAGCTGATTTCATGGCTGTGTTCATTTTATCAAATTGTACAGTGATTTGTGCACTTTCCTGTATGCATTTATATTTCAATAAAAAGTTAAAACACAATAAAACAAAAATGTGGACCAAACAAAATAAATCTTAAGGCTGAATCAGAGCTGTGGTCTTCCAGTTTGGTCTATAATACATAGATTTCTTTAGAGAGAACAGCAGAGATTTTTTTAAAAAACCCCAAACCCTTATAACTTGAAATGCAGGTAACACTTCCCCACCCGTCTTCACCCCTCCACCTTGGTGTGTGCTTTCCTCACAGAAGCACCTACAAAGCCCAATGAGGAACCTGTCTTTCCTTCTGAGTCATTACCCAGCCTCACGTTTACCTTTATGTGTATTGTTCCAATACTATTGTTTATTCTTGTTCTTAAACTAGAAAAAGCAATCCATACATACCATATTATAAGCCATAACTACTAGTAAAGGTACAGAATTGGAAACCTTAGATGCAGGAGAGCCCAGAAGCAATTTCAAAGTAGGGTGTGGCCTACTTTATGTTGAGTCTTCATGTTGAGAGGCTCATAAGACAGAAATTTCAGGTAGTTTTGAAAAGCTACTAGGAATCACACTGGGCTGAAAAGACTTATCTAGGAAAGAGGCATGTCTTAGCCTGGGCCACAGACCCACAGGCAATCAATCGGGTGTAAAAGTTAGGTTTTAGAATATGTGTGTTCTGGGGAACTTACCTATACTCACTGCACAAGCACATCCCAAAGGTGCTTTAATTCAGTTGATGGATGGAGTTAAGAAGGCTGTTTTCGGTAGTGAAGACTATAGTCTATGCATGTATGCTGAGGTTTGGGTCTTGGGGTTTCCTTGAGAAGAAATGATTGTCTCAAGAGTTAAGTTACTGACAGAGCAGAAAGGTAGAGTTACTAACATGGCAGAATTTAGGAACTAAGTTACATTTGGTTCCCTTAAGCAAGGGCCAGAGAAGTAGGAGTATGGATAAAGATGTTTGAGGAAAGTAGAACCTTCTAGAGGAAAGTCAAATTGCATAGCTCAGGACTAAGAAAGAGTTGGGAAGGACACATAGAAATGACTCAAGACTGTATAAGGAGAGAAATCTCAGGGGAAGAAAGTCCCCATCTAGCAGAAGTGACCCCACCAGATTCCTTGGTAGAACAACCACCTTGGTTGTTATTGTAGTATGTTAGACTACACAAGAATTTCCCAAGGAGGAGGTATCCCAGGTGTGAAGGATCTGTGAACAACTGTACGAGGTAAGTTGTCTGAAAACGCAGGGGCTAGCCTAGTATCTCACTTTTTATCTCAGAGAGGACTATTTTCTCAGGAGTATTGCCCTAACTGAATCATAACCTCATGCCTATTTTGAGAATTCAAACTTTTCTTTGTCCTTTCTACTTCCCTACTAGTGTGAACCAGTTATAACTCAATGAACCAGTAGTTTTGTACTTCATGCTTGATATTACTATGTTTATCATCAGATGTTCTCAATACTTCCCAACATACACTTACCTTTAATGTTTTTCATGATGTTACCTTTCATGCTTTTCATGAAATGGGATAAATTGCCACCACTAAAGGGTGTCAGGCCACCTGAACCGAACATTAATTTCCAACGTATTTGGATTAACTCTAGTCCTCCTTCCCTAATATGGACAGAAGTGTGAAAGCAACTTCACACGAAGTAGCTCTAAATCGTGAATATTCAAGTCTATTGTCCCTTTTTTACTTTGGAATGACAGGAAGTTTTTTTTCTGAGGTGGGGTAGAAGGGCAGGGACAGAGCCTGGAAATTGAAAAGGGGAAGAGAGCAAGGCAGGCTTCACACAAGGACATGGCCAAGACCTGACAGTTGAACAGCTGACCCTGAGGCCTTCGTGGAAAGCACGTGGCAGAAAGATTTGGAGCATTTATTTGCCTTCTAAACTCTAGTCCTGCACTAGATTCACCTAATGGAAACTCAAAGAAGCTGACACACGATTCAGCTTTCTCTGGTGAGGTGCTCTTAGGAGACTGCCTGTGCTGCTGACTCTACCTTGCTCTGGAGGCAGAAGCAAAAAGAGACTAAGGACTTTTCCCCCCCTCTTGTATAAATAAACCCGACTACTTGAAAATGCAGTACCAAAAAAGTAGCCAAAATGTTCTCTCCTAAATCAGCTTAGGTATTTCTCTAGAAGTACTCCCATATTTGCTGACCCCTGCCTCCTAGCTGGGTTAGGTGCTTGACCCTTTGCTCTCTCTGCTCCCAACCGATAGCACTATCACTGTACTTACCCCAATGTGATGATCTGTTTCAGTATCTCACTAGACAAAGGCTTAACCTTTTTGTATCTTTGGTAATCAATCTGCTGGCGCTATGGACCAATTCTTGGAACAATGTTTTTCAACGCATGAAATAAAATACATAGGATTACAAAGGAAACCAATTATATTAAAATGTAGTTCTTAACTTCAGACAACCTCTGGAGAATGAATTCCTTGAGTGCAGGGACTGAGTCCTCATCTCTGTACTGCCAGTGCCTAGCACAAAGCCTGGCATATAGATGGTACTTACAAGTGTTTATTTAATGAATGAACAGAAAGATAGATGGCTACTGCCAAGGCAGCCTGAGGAACGATTCATTGCAACTGCTTGTGCACATACCAGTGGCTTGCATGTGTCTCAGCCCATCTGAGATCACCTAGACCAGGGCCGTGAGGAAGCCTACACTCAACAATGGGGGCACTGCATCTAGCAATAACGACAAGCTACTGGAAGACCAGGAAAAAAACAAAGCTCATGTATTTCCACCAGCTGGAATATTCAGACAGTGAAAGTAAACAGGCTCAGTATTTAGGAAGCGATCTCTTGACTTTGGAAGCATGACATCACACTACTTTAAAGCACTACCAACGTCTCTGATGTCTCTGATGGAGGAAAGAAAGGAACCTGAGCTAGCATGTAGGTGTTCTCCAGGGCTCCTCCTGTGTCCTGAATTGGGCCTTTTGTCTCTGGGAAAGATAAGTGTCCCTAAAAACCACAATAGGGATCTGTGCCTTTCTAGGTTCCAGTAATAGTTTGAGGCTTACATAGAAATTTTGTTTTTGTTTATGTACCAACAGAAAACCTAGAGAAGCAAGAAATAAAAGCCACTTCCCTCACTAATGACATATAACGGGCCAAAGGTTTGTTCTAAGCTGATTGCTATGTCTATTAGATACTTTGAAAAGAAAAATAAAACCCCAGACAATTATAAAGCCGAAAAGCACAACTGTATGGGGTTTAGACATCTCACCCTTAAGGCTTTTAAGATTGACCCTCCCAAGTTAGAGGGCTTCTCTAGCTATCCACAGCCATCTGAGGGATGACAGGACGCAGTTTTTCACCCGCTTAACAACAGGGTTTCCAACATCTGTTGGAAGAAACATGGCTTCAGGTGGTGCCTTCTTCAGATTATAAAAAAAAAAAAAAAAAAGGAAACTACAGGTCAAAGTTTTGCTTTTAATTAAAAAAACCAAAAACCAAAAGCAACCCTCCCACTCCTAAGGTGTGTGCTTTCTCTTTGCTGACCTATTTTTCTTTTAAGTTGTCTGCAGTTTCTATATTTCTCCTAGTGCAGTAAACAGTGCAATCAAAGAAATAAAAACCAGGGTCCGCTCTTGCCCCAAACACTGAAGATGGTCAAAGAGAAGAAATCACAGCATGAAAAATGGGCCCAGCTCTAAATATACAAAAACATTAAAAGAGAAGAGAAAAAAACAAACAAAATAAACCCCCCAAGACATTATTATTGACATTCCTGGTACATTTCCTGTAATGTAATTTTGCAAACAATGCTTCTTTCCCAGAGAGTCCAGCTCGCTCAGGAGGAGACATCTACTTGGTGCCTCAGGATAGGCTAGGGTATTGAGTCTTCCCTGCCAAGCCTAAGGCTTTTTTTATGAGCTCAATATCTCACAGAAACATCTGTGGTATAAATGGCATAAATGAATCTAAAAGAGAATGAAGGCAGGTAGGCACCTGTCACTGTTCTCTGAGTCAGCCAAAAAGCTGAAGAGCGTGGGATCCAGGAGACAGATGCTATAAACCATTGAGGGATGGAGGGTAGAACAAGAGGAAGCACCAAATGAGTGACTGCATTTGGTTCCAAAGCCAAAAAAGGGCCCCACCAAAAAGAGCAGTTGGTCTGGATAAGGAACTCCCTTGCTCCTAGAGTCATGCAATAAAAATGATGGCCTTGGAGCCCCACCCCCAGAACCAGAGCAAAGTATGCCACAACACACAGTTTGCAAATGAATGGACTAATCCCAGTTTAGGAGGGTAAGTGTTTTGACAAAGTAGGGGGCAAGGTGAGCTTGAATCCCAAAACACAGCTGTGACATTTCTGGATTTCTATTTCTGCCAAGCTACAGGCCCCTGCTGCTGCTTGCTCCGTGGAAATGTACCCCTTTTGCTTATGACTGGCCTTGCCTCAAAATGGCACCCATGGTGGTAACCCTCAGAGATATCAAGAGGCATCAGTTGCACTTCTGGAAGTGAGATAATTTCCTTGCCCCATCCTGGCCAAAGCACTTCCCTTTTTAAGCTGCTGCTATGCTACCTTCCCCTCCCAGCAGAGTTCAACTTACTTTTGTGTGAGAGTTTTCATTGGCCTCTGAGGGCCCTTTCCAGGATACAAAATAAAGTATCCTTCTGCATCCACATATGAGTGCTTTGCCTTCTAATGTCAAATCTGTGTTCCAGAGTTTGATCAATGTAACTTTATGAGAATAAAAACACATGCATACAGACTAGCCTGGAAAGGGCTTTCTGGATAGGGTTTCTGGTTATCTTGATGTCTCTACTAAAAGAAATAGCTTTGTTGCTGTAAGAGGATTAGGACATTGAGTGACCTACTCTCAACTTCTGGAAGGGCAGCTTGTTTTTGTCCATTTTTCAATGAGGGAGTGGAAGGGACCCAACATATTCAGTTACAACAACGAGATTTTGTTTAAAAAAAAAAAAAAAGGATCCTATGTGGAAATGAGTGGGACAATGATAAAAATAAACAAATAATTAAAAATTCCAAACCGAAACATATCTCCTGGCTCCCAGATCCCCAGTTAGTCCTCCAAGACCACAATCTCCACATTGTGGACTTGATGCTGGTGTTCTTCCATCTCAGCCACAACTTTCTCCTCAGTCCTCAGCTCTGTCTCCAAAATGACTGCTTTGCCCTCAGTGTCCTCAGCCTCTGGGTCTGGGGCTGGGTCAATTTCAATGATGGTCTGCCCATCCTCTGAGGTGCTTTCAACAGCCTGGATTGCTGAGGTCAGGCCAGACTCCATGGCCACCAGCTCTACAGGGCTCACCATGGTGGTCATGTTGCCCAGGGTACTCCCATCCTGCATGGCGGTGGAGCTTAGCAGTGCTAAGCTAGACGAAGGGTGGATGGTCACTGTGTCTGGTGAGCTGCTCTTGGCAGAGGAGACCACTGTGGCATAACGGAAGAGCTGAGGGCCAGAAGGCAGTGTGTGGACAGTCACAGGACTGGAGCCCTGGCTGAGGGTGGCCACTGGAATATTGCCCATGGAAAATGACTGACCCACTGGGGTGATGGTGATGGGTGAGATGACGGTGAACTGAGGCTGCTGGACAGGAGGAGAAGGGCTCAGGACTGTGGTAGAGGCTGGCCGCTGGAGCCGGGGCCTTTTGGGAGGCTTAGGAGTGCTCACAGGCATCAGTACTACATTTTGAACCGTCTGGGATTTCAGCCTGTGATCCTGAGCTTGCTTCTTCTGCTCTTCCAACTGGCGTTCCAAGTCTATGGAAAAAAGACAGACTTTGTGTGGAAGGAAGTATAATCTTGAGAACAGTAAACTGGGAGTGACTCCTTCTGGAGTCTTGTTGTGGTTTTGCCACTATGTAGCCTCAGGCAGTCACTTCATTGTTTTCAAGAAGAAACTAGACTGGATGATCTTTAAACTCCCTCCATAATTACATTTCATTGTGTGATTATAGGCAGGGCAACGATTCAGAATCTTTTCAGGCTGTGATCCTACTATAGCTCAACTCCAGAAGCTCCTGTGGCATTTTGTCACCTACCACCAAAGTGCAAACCAAAGAAGCTTCCAGTTGGTCTAGCAGCTTACATATGCTCTGCCTGGGTCTACAGATGAAAATATCTGCACAATCCCTTTGCAACTGCCATAGACCTACAAAGGAGCTACAATGGCCACTCCAATAAACAGTGATTTACAAACCATCCTTCAAGGTAGGATCACCTGCTAGTGACCTGGATGGCTTTCACCTATCATTAGCCCCAGAGAAGGCTAGATAAAGTTACAGAGGAAGTCCCTAAGAATTACAGAACTGAAGGATGTCTTAGAGTTCTAACATATTTGTTTTGACAGAGATCCAGAGAGGTAAAGTGACTTACTTAAGGTCAGAGAGCATAAGCCAAAACAAGTCTTCTGATGGCCAACTTGGTGGCTTTTCCACCCCAATACACCTACCACTATCCCTCTCCCAAATGTCCAATCCAACCTTGATGACCACTGGTGAATCTGGTTCTACACCGGAAATTCTCTGTTGCTTAGTACCTGATAAACATCCAATAAGTAACCAGTTACACCTGTAGAGCACTTTGCTCCCTGTGGAACACCAAGAGCAAGTCAATTCCTTGCTTGGAATAAAAGAAGTAGGTAGGGTAAAGAACACATTCATACACCAGAAATTGACAAAACATTGTAAACTGACTATATTTCAATTCTATATATATATATATATATAGAACACACAAAAAAAACCACATACAAAAATTTTAAAACACTGCCTTTTAAGGTTATAAAATACTGTATTTTTTCCATCTTCAGCAATAGTCAAAGAAATGTGAACCTAAGCAAGATATCAATTAAATCTATAATTTTTAGAAAGTTAAATCAGGGTTGATGAGTTCAAACTTGTAAATCGGTATAAGCTTCTTGGAAATTTGACAATAGGTCACAAAAACCCAACAACAAATTATCAATATCATTTACCTCAAGCTTAGTCCTGTGAAGTAGTTTAAAAGGACTTTTTAAAAAAAGTTATATTCATAAAAGTTCACTGCAACAAAATAAGCTACTGAAGAAAAATCTGGAAATTTAAATTCATCCCTGGGAGAATGTGTAGGTAACGTACTATGTAGCAACTTGGAAAAATATTAGCATGTCATAGTGAAAAAAGAAAAAACAAAACTTTATGTATACTATGACTATAATTAAAATAATACAGACAAGGAACCAGAAGCCTACATTTCTAACAAAAAACATTTTTCAGATGGTGTAAAGTTTCAAGGTGGAAGACAGCACTGGACTATGAATAAGAAGACAGAGTTCTGCTCTGGGCTTCACTGTCAAGTAGTGATGTGGTCCCAGGCAAATCATTTATCCTCTCTGTGCCTCTATTGGGTTATCTGTAAAATAAGGATAAGAGCCTATAACATTCCTAGAAGGATCAAATGAAAATGGGCATCTCCAAGAATACTTCGTAAACTGAATTTAAAATATAAACTGGGTATAAAAATACGTTAAAAACAAAACAAAACAAAACAAAAAGCAAAAGTTAAAAACAACCTAAATTGTTCTCTTACCAAATGAGCTTTCTTGCCTTTTGCCTTCATGACTGACTATTATAATATATTATATAGCATTCAAAGAATGATAATCTATACTTTTAACTTGTTTTGTATCTTTCATCTACCTTACCTCCTCCAAAAGCTTCTCTTTGATTCTTTCTGGGTATAAGTGATAACTCCCTTCATTCCATCACCATACCTGCTATATGCCTCTGTTACAAAGTTGACTACTTTTTGTACTTATTTGTAAGTCTGCTTTCCCTTGAGTTCCTTGAAAGTTCTCAAGAGACTGAGGCTATCTTATTCAACATTATATCTCTAAAACATAGTTTAGAGACCAGCACAATGTAAGTACTTATTAAAATAAGTTAAATTATCCTTGTGCTCATAATTCCTGATTACCAGAAATAATGAAGTAAGTGCTAAATGTGTATCTATCTAAAGACTCAGTATTAATGTAAAAAAGACAAAGGCCAATTTTTTTCTTCTGCCACTTATAGTACTGGATTAATAGAGCAATCTAGCAGATATCTTTATCTTCTAAAGTATAGAAGGGGGACCCTGTTGCTGGCTTTTTTTTCTTTTCGTTTTTGCCTCCTCTGCTTCCCACCACTCCACCTCACCTGGGGCTGTGTACAAAGAAAAAGCTAAATCTGATACTATGTGAACTGAAAAAAAGAGATAGAAAGAGAGACAGAGAGAGAAGGAAGGAGGGAGGGAGAGAGGAAGGAGGGAAGGAGGGGGGAGGAGGGAGAGGAAGGAAGGAGGGAAAAGGGAGGGAGGAGGGAGGAAGGAGGGAGGAAGGGAGGGAAGGAAAGAGGGAGAGAAGGAGGGAGGGAGGGAAGAGGGAGAGAAGGAAGGAAGGAGGGAGGAGGAAGGGAGAGAAGAAGGAGAGGGAAAGTAGGAGGGAAGAAGGGAGGGAGGGAAGGAAGGAGCAAGCCAGTCCCCACAGAAGTCAACAAAGAAATGGCAAGACTCAAGGATATTAGTATAATATCAGCTAAGAAGAGAGAGAAGTTTACATACCTGTCAGAGTATAGAGAAACTGCTCTTCTCCCTGCTCTACTTGGCTCCTTCTGTTGTCCAAAACCTTCTTGACCGTGTCCATTAGGCCAAATGTATGTGCTACATTGTTGAGAACAGCAGCATCTATTTAAAACAAAAGACATGTCTGTTGAGTTAAAACAGAAATGTACCACCAACTCCCTACTGTGATGCTTATAAATACAAAACAATCCAGAAACTAGAATACTAATTGTATTTTTAAAAAATTTTAACAAAGGTTTATTACATGTGTAATTAAGTTTTATTAATTGTTATATCTTTATACATTTTTCCATACAAGTAAATACAAAAATAAGGTGGAAAAAAATCTTGCATCTGGTTATAGGTTCTGACTTTTGGTTTAGAAAACATGGTCATTGTACTAGATACAGCTAAATCTGAACTTCAGTTTTGATGTTTCCTCCTGTCTGTATGACCTGGGGTGAGTCATTTCACTCCTCTGTTTTCTTATCAGAAACAAATGGGACTAATAATACTTACTCTGCAGGATAGATATGAAGACTAGAAATACCATATTTCAAGTGCTAAAAATGGGGACTGACATGCAATATTATTATTAATAGTATTATCTTTGTTCTTCTCTACACAAAACTTTGTGAAAGAACTGTCAGTAACTGTGGTCATTACTTCCCTAACTCAGACCACTTCTCTGCCTACAACTCTCTTCCACAGTCATCATGACCAGTTCCACGGTTTTAAATATCATGGACATGTTAAGAATTCCCACATGTAGATCTCCAGCCCTGACCTCTTTCCTGCATTCCAGATTCATACTTCTGTTGAGCTGAGTGACATCTCCATTTGAAGGCCTCATAAGCATTTCAATTTAACAAGTCAAAACGCAATTCTGATTTCCTCTCTCAGTGGTTTTCATCACAGGAAACAGTATCAAAACTCATAGCTCAGACCAAAAATATATGAGTCATTGTGAATTTCTTTCTTTTTCACCCTACACCTAATCCATCAGTTCTGCATTCAAAATACATCCCCAATATGATCACTTCTTCCTAGGTCTACACTACCCATTTGTAATCCATGCTACCATCATCTCTTGTCAAAAGTCTCCCAACTGGTCTTCTTGTTTCGACTCTTGCTCCATATAATCTATTCTCCCCACAGCAATCGCACTGATCTTTTAAAAATATAAATAAATCTGATTACTTCACTCCTCAAAATCACTATAATGGCTTACCATCACTTTAAAATAAAACCCAAAGTTCTGACCAAAGCTTATCTAAACTGTCCCTTCTGTTCCTCTCCAAACTCATCACTTTCTCCACTGCCTCACTCCACTGCAGCCACACTGGTGCTTCAGTAATTCTTTGAACCCACCAGGCTCATTGCCATTCAAGATGTTTGTTCCCCTTGACTGAAATGTTCCTTGTCCCAGCTTGCCACATGGCAAGCTTCAATTCAGGTCTCTACTCAAATGCCATCTCCTTAGAGAAGGCTTCCTTGACCACCCTTGTCTTAAATAGTCACTCCTGCTTTCTACACTATTTACCTTTTTTAATTCCAGCAAAAAAAAAAAAAAAAAGGATTTTGCTGTAAAGCTTGTTTTAAGTGTATTTGCATAATGTACAAGTTATAGATGCAATAAGACACAACTAACAAATCTAAGTAAAAACTCATTAAACGCATAAGCTTATGAGATCGCATCATGACCCTTTTTATATCAGATAATTATTACATCCTTTTACACTGTGCACAATAGCAAGTACCCTGTAAGTACTGACACTGAGGAACAGCTTAAGTGCACACAATAGTTCTGAAAGCCTTAAACTAACAGAATATAAGAACTGTCTAAAACCAGGTGGATTTCTCCAGTTTTCAGACCCCATGTATCTATCTATTTATATCTGTATCTAAGAGAGAGAGAGATTGCTTTCTGGAACCATTTACAAAGGCAAAAATTACCTGTGGAAAAAGCACTGCCAGACCTGAGTTCAAAACTACTTATGTAACACAACATTGTAAATCAACTAAACTTCAATTAAAAAAACCCAAAAAAACCTAGTTATGCTAAAAACAGAGCTACCATATATGATCCAACAATCCCACTCCTAGGCATATATCCAGAAAAGACAAAAACTCCAATTCAAAAAGATAAATGCACCCCAATGTTCATAGCAGCACTATTTACAATAGCAAAGATGTGGAAGTAACCTAATGGTCCATCAACAGATGAATGGATAAAGAAGTTGTGGTATGTATATTCAAAGGAATATTACTCAGCCATAAAAAGAATGAAAATACTGCCATTTGCAGCAATATGGATGGACTTAGAGAATATCACACTAAGTGAAGTAAGTCAGACAGACTAAGACAAATATTATAGATCACTTACATGTAGAATCTAAAAAATAATACAAATGAATTTACTTGCAAAACAGAAACAGACTCACAGACATAGAAAACAAACTTATGGTTACCAAAGGGAGGGGGAGGGATAAATTAGGAGTATGGGATTAACAAATACAAACTATTACATATAAAATAGACAGGCAATAAGGACTTACTGTATAGAACAGGGAACTACACTCAAAATCTTATAATAACATATAATGGAAGATAATCTGAAAAAATATATATAGCTATAACTAAATCACTCTGCTATACACCTGAAACTAATACAATATTGTCAATTAACTATACCTCAATAAAAAAAAATTTTACAATACCAAAAAAAAAAAAACCTAGTTATGAACTTTGGATAGTAACTTAACTTTTATAAGCCTCAGTTTTCTAATCTGTAAAGTGGGGATAATAATACCTTATTTCAGTGTTTCATGAGGCTAATGGAATCTGCTACAGTTGTTACTGTTCAATAAATGACCATTATTGTCAGGATTAGTGCATTTACCTGTGACCTGGAAGGGAGCCTGGATGAGCCGCTGCTGAACTCCCCTGAGTAGCTCCTCTATTTCCTTCTGTATATTGCAGACAACCTCTTCCATCAGTCCTACATCAGCTATTCCTTTCCAAAACATCAAAGTGTCCTCTGGCAAAACAGGGGTAAGACAGAGGGTAAACAAGGGATGCTACATATACTAGGCACATTTCTACAATGTTAAATTCAAAATTATTTCTGTTTGAAATGATTTCTTGTTGGGCTACTTCTGGGAAAAGAAAAGAAGCTTTTGGAACACTAGCTGCCTCCCTGAATTGGTACCTTAATTATTTGGACTCATCAGCAAAACAGGGACTTATGATAATTGTCTCAATTCGTCATGGCTCTGGCTTCAGGGAACAGGTATCTTCGTCCAATAAAAATATTAAAACACTAAATAAATAAATACTAAAATATTCAGTTAAACAATTTAATTTAAAATTAAATAATATTTTACATTTTAAAGTTAAATAATAATGACATTAAATTAAAGATATACTCCCTCTAATCCTATACTTAGAAAACCAAAAAACAAAACAAAACAAAAACAGTTGAATAGGTGGTTATAAGCTCCCTGAGGGCAGAGGCTATGTGTTTTCATCTATCTAGATCTAGCAACAGTGCCAGCTAAAAATAGGCAGCAATAAATATTTGTTAAATGAATTAATGAATGGAGGATGATGTGATACTTCTCTTGGTCCTTTCTAAGTGAATCATCATTAATCACCATCCTCTACATCACCCACTACCTAGTTTTTTCTTCTAACATCTTGCAGCTTGGTTTTTTCTAAGAAATGTGCCAAAGTTGGAATCAGTGTGACAGGATAAAAACCTGGACTCCAGAGTTAAACAGCTGAATTCAACTCTGGCACTTATTAGTTGTATAACTACTCTTACACAAGTTGCTGAACCTTTTTGAATCTCAATTTCTTCATAAAATGTGACTCTGCAGGGCTATTGCATGTTTTAGAATAAGATGTTTGCAGCTATACTTAGCATTAACATGCATAAGAAAAACCAGCACAAGTAACTGAGGCCTTCTGTGTCTATACTCACAATGGTGATAAGAGTTACAAAACCCTGCAAGATATCTGAGCCCCACAGAAAGTACCTGAAATTTCCTCTGAGTCTTTCTTCGTGCCCTCCTCCGTGGCCATGGTGACAGCAGCAGTGAGAGCCGAGTTCCATTCCAGTCCTGCCTCTTCCATGCTCTCTTCTGAGATGGCAATCTGTGTGATGCTACCTAAAAGCAGTCCATTAGAGGTAAGGCCAGTGAATTTCATGAAAAAGACACAGCTATCCTCTATCTCATACAGCCAGAGACCCTGTTACTTTGCCTTTCTGGCCCTTTGCCTGCATTAAAAACTAGAATCCTAGGTAAGCCAGGATGAATACTGGATTTTTTCAAAGAACCTGTCTTGCCAAAGAAAAGGCTTTCTTCTTACTCTGAATAGAAAGTGAAAGAAAACCTATAAAATCACAAAAGAGCAATCTGCTTTCTGAGCAGTTACGTTTTTGAAAGAAACTGACGGTGGGTATGATAGCCAGGTTACCTGCCCTAGACTTAGTGAGGATGAGGAGGCCCTGAAATAATTTAAAAGAAAAGTGTGATGTTTACTCAAGAGCCCTACTACCAACTATCTAGAGTATCTGAAGTTGCAGTAAGTGACCTATCAGCCTATGTAAGAGAAAGCAAGACTAACGAGACCAAAAAAATTAGGTAAGAGATCCGTGCATAGCAGGTTCGCAGAGGAAAAAATTTTTGCTATCAATTTTAAATGAAGATTTTAAACAAAGAATTAAGGAAAATCAAACTGATCTAGACAGAAATATAGACAAGCGTGTACTCTCCACACTGGAGAATATCAATAATCAAGAAAACAAGTATTATCAATATGGATAATCAAGTAAAGAAGTTTTGATCAAATAAAAAGGAAGTAAAGATTATGTTATTCATAAAGAGGAAAATGGCAGCAAAAAAAAGGTAAATAATTTCACAGCATTTTTCACTTTTCAGGTGGAAGTGTCACATGACCAAAAATTCAAATTGCTAGAGATTTTACACTTTCATGAAAGCAACTTAGGTTCTAAGAGATTTGGCTTCTCCAGCAGTTACCAAAGAATTTTAGGGCTGACCAAAAGAAATCTCAAGAGGCCATTTAAAAAAAAATAAAAAGAACTTCTCTTATACCTTTTAGCACTCTTGTGACTCTGTCAGGCATATTTATAAGTCTTTTGGAAGTAGCTAAGACATAGTCTATCTAAGAATCTTAGCTGTGCTAAGTCTCCAGCTGGACTAACTGAATCCTTAATTATAACCTCACAGGGCTATATCTTTCTTAGAGATGAGCAGAGAGCTCTAGTCCCAAGCTCAACAGTGCCAAAGTTCAGTGTGCGCCCATCCTAACTCATATGTGAGGAAGCTTCAGCTTGGTTATCTGAATCCCTTCCAGGCAGAACTGTTTGAGCCTTACAGCAGTCTCCAGAATCCAGCCGGGCCAACGATACATTGTCTTTGACACATCTCAGTTCAACAGCTGAAAACCATTCACCATTCTAATCCAACTTCCTGCTTTGATCACTAGTAGAGCTAAGGATTTTCAAAGCAATCTGATTTCAAAGATAAGCCAAGTGGCACGAAAGTGAGACCGTTAAATAAGCATTATATGAACCATCTTTCTAATGTTTATCAGGCATTGTAATCAAAAAGCAAGAAAGAAGGTTAGGCCAATAGGAATCCTTTGAGAGAATACCAAATTCGTTTCTAAAGCATGGACTCCCACCCAAGATTACCATACCTTACATCAATGTTCATGAGAATTAAAATCAAGAAACACAAAGGAGAAATGAGGAGAAAAGTGTTACTGAAAAACACAGTGGGTTTTCAGGTGGTTTCCTACCCCCTACCATCGGCCGAAGTGGGTGTCTGCACCACACTTGTCTGCTGTCCTGGCACTGGAGCTCTTGCACTGCTGATCAGAAGATCAAATTTGGTGCTTCTGCAGGTATTGGAGCAAACCTTGTCATGCTGGTAAAAATCAATCTGCCCAGAGTCCATCATTTTCCTGTGCAAAGGGAGACAAAATGTACCAGTTCAGCCTGCATTTTGTCTAGAGGGGACAAACAGAAACAAAGTTGCTGAAACTAGTCTGTAGATAAGTGAAGCCTGATGGTATTAAAATTCATTGGATTGCAAAAATTCTAATTGGGACTATAAAATTTTCCCTAGTCCTGCCCACATTTACAAGTACTCTTCTTCCCTCTCTAGTCTACTTACTATGAGTACTCTCTTTTATTTCTGGTTATCACTAAGTTTTAGGTATATACTCCTGACAACACCTAAGCTTCCCCATGTAATCTCATTGAAACCAAACCCAAAAGGAGAAATGACAGCTCACATCCCAACACAGGTGAGAAATGCCACAGGGGAATGAGAATTCTGTGATAAGATTCTGATATATTAGTACTTGTAGACCAGCAAGCTCAGTTGCCACTTCTGGAGACATAAAACTTCAGCGTATTTCTTTCCTTAAAAAAAGTAAATAAAAGATAACTCTCCTATAAATACAGAGCAAAGTTGATTATACTAAACTCTCCTATAAAATGTCCTTATAACTGTATTTACAAGACATTGTTATTACAGGCCATGAGAAAAACCAGAGGGTATTTTAATTACAGTAAATGCTGTGTTACAATGTTACATGGCTTTCACTAAAGATTTTTTAGGCACTCTGAGTCCTTTTTACATTTGGGGAAAGTTGGCATATGCTTGTTGTTTTTTTTGCAAATAAAACAAGCCAAGAACAACAAAAAAGAAAGTTAAATGTATTAAACCTCAATTTCAACTACTAATTTCTACATACAAATCATCTGGAATGCACTAAAAAAATTATATCTCTGACTATAAAAATAATATGCGAAGGAAAAAATTAACATTTTATGTGGAAAATACAGAAAACTATAAAGAAAACAGCTATTCTTTAAAGAAATCTCCAACACAGAGATAACATCAACATCTCAGCATACTTCCTCCTACTAAATTTTACTTACATATGTGTGTATTTTTTAAAACAAAAATTACATTGACGATTGATATTACATATTTCGTTTTCTTTCTTACATCATAAGCATTTTTCCATGTAAAAACTCTTTAAAAATATTTTAACAACCACATAACACCCCATAGTATATACTCATATACATTGAGATGAGCCATAATTTACTTTAGATATACTTTGACTGTATATTAAAGCAGACTGTAATTTTCACCGTAATAATGTTGCAGTGAACCTCTTTATGCTTGAATGCCTACAAGCACTATAGATTTTTCTTAAGACAGATTCCCTTAAAAAATGAAGACAAAGGGCAAGAAGTTTTTAAGGCTCTTGATACATGTTCTGTGGTGCACTTTTAATTCTTGACCATATTTTAAAATTTTCTTTTAATAGGTGAGTGTTCAAGGAAAACTACTAATGTTAATTTTCACCAGAGGGGAAATAATTACAAGAATAAAGTTACTGCATAGAGAGATGGGGATGAGGATATTATACATTCTAAAGTTTATTTCTGTGGTACAATGGTGGCAAGGATTGCATTGCTGGGCATAATTGTTACTCATGAACAGCACCCTTCTACTTTACCAGATTATCCCAGGATTTGTCGGTCAGCCTACATCTTCATGGTTGTCATGCTTTCTCAGCACCAGGCTTAGCTTTGCCTATGCTTAGTGATCTCAAGCAGGACTGTCATTTATTCCTGAGATTCTCTGCCCAGAGAGGATCCTACCCAACATCTTGACATCAGAAAAATTTGCCCTAGATGCTGGGAAGAGTCAATTTAATTCAATCTTCCTTCTCTCACAGGGATTTTAAGAACAAGTTGATAAAGGTCAAATAATACATGGATTGCTCAAGTCAATCCTTCAGACAGAAGAAAAATTCAGATTAAAGAGAAAAGACTGGATTCTCTGAATTCTACCATGATTTAGTGCCCCCAAGTCAGTTGAAAGGTATGAGCTTGCTATTAGAGCTCACCTGAGCATGATGCCACCCAGACGAATAGCTCTCTTCCAGTCCTTCAGGGTAGACTTGCCAGCCAGATGAACAAAATGCTTGGGGCTGATCAACTGATCATTGAACTAATGTAAAAAGAAAAGTCCAAAATAATCCAATGTCAATTTAGGCAGGCCAAGAGGGAAAGAAAGAAATAACTCTACTTGTTATATACTAAAAACACCCGGATAACAATTAAGTCATAGCCTTGTACTCTCCGTTCTCCTGCCCTATTGTGCCAGAGAAGATGATCCTTCTCTGGGCACAGTGCCCTGTCCTGGTACAAAGCTATAGAAGACATGAAGAGGTTCAGAGATTAATATACTGATTAGTATCTAAAATCCATTCATGCCCTGAATCAAGCAGGTGGGTCCAATGTTACAAAGGTTGTTAAAATAAACTTAAGTACTCTATCCAGCTCTAATGTCAAGATTCAGGATGTGGCAGAATAAGTCTGGTAGAAACCAACAGCACTGCAGAGTGTTGAAACTCTAATCCTCACTGATTCTAGGATGATGCCACTGATGGTGAGTATCATCTATGGGTACAGCTGTGGCCACCAAGAGACAGAAAAAGCAATTATTTCCACATTGTGCTATCATGAAGATTATTTATTTTTATCAATAGTAATTTTTTTAAACATTTTTATTGAGTTACAGTCATTTTACAATGTTGTAGTAGTAATTTTCAATAAACTCTACCCAAATGCACATCAGTGTAAGGCATTTTATGTATATTATCTCATTTCATCTTCTAGCAGCCTTACAGTGTGTCTATCTGTATAATTATTTATATTTTGATACATGAGTCTCTGAAATATTAAATAACTTGCTCAAGGTCACCCAGGTAGTCAGTGATAGAGATGGGACTCCATTCATTCCTTCATTCAACAAATATTTACTGGTAAATATGCCAAACACTATTCTAGGTGCTAAGGATACACTGGTGAACAAGCCCAACAAATTCTCAGCTCTCAAAGCAATTGTATTCTGGTGGGACTTCAATCCAGGTCAATTTCACTCCAAAGTCCTTATATTTTTCTATTGTGACACAAAGGGATTATAGACACAAAATTCAAAACACTGATATGGTGAAAGAGAGAGAAGAGGCATTGAAACCATATCCTTTGAAAACAAGGAGACTCAGTGTTGGCCCCAGCAAGCAGGAAAAACAATTACCTTGACACACTTTACATTTATTCCTGGACATACAAACTTCTTCCAAAGGAGAATGGCTTTGCTCTCCCCACAAGTTATGGGGTAAGCAATTTCCATATCCTCATTTGCTTCTATGGTGCTTGCATCTGAAAATGGAAAAAATAGTAGTCATTTATCAAACACTCTTCCCCAAAGCTTAATTCAAAAACTCTAGTCTCCTGGTTCCTCTAAGGCACTAACAGTTCATATCATTTAGGAATCTTCTGAAAGAAGTCTGGCGTAACAGCTTTCTTACCAAGCTCCAACTATGTGCCAGACACGGGGCTATGTGCTTTTATAGGCTTAATCTTATTTAGCTATAAAAACAATCCCATGAGGCAATGATTGTTTCCTAAGAATACAAGTGGAACTCAGAAAGGTGAAGTGACGTTCCCAAGGACACATAAGTTGTGTGAGAAACTGGGATTCAAGGTCAGGTTTGTCTAATGTCAGAGTTTCTTTTCAGTTACTTTCCACTGACTGCCTTCCAATCAACACCTCATCAGTCCTCATCAGCAACTTACCTAATGACAGGGATCAACCTTGAGGCTCCAATTTCTCTGAGGGATTTTTATAGGTGAAAAATATTTTCAGCAACCCTAGCAAATTGATGTTAAATGTCAGAGACGGCCCTAGCGTCTTAGTCAGTGGTGTCTCTAGATTTGCCACCATCAAATTAACGGCAACAACACTGGTAGGGCATACTGGGTGGGAAGGGGAGGGCAATAAGGCACAAAAGGCAAGAAATCTCAACCAAGGAAGCTAAGGTCAAAAGTACTAGAACAGCACAAAGACTTACCAATCCCTTCTTCAATTTTATGTATCGTGTGAGTTTCTACTGCCACAACTGCTGTGTTGTTCTCGGACCCAGTTTCATAAATCCTGTTGTAAAAGTGTCCATCGATAAACAAACTATATAAATCATGAAAAAATTAATATTCACAACATGGGGTTAAGAAATTTGTTTTAATCTATCTCAAAAGGAATAAAATAATACACTTTACAACTCTATGTTAGTGCTCTGACTAGCTCCCCATTGCATTTAAATTCCAAGTTGCCCAGGACTGCTGAGCAGCTACCATGGAAATAAATCAACAGCTTTCCTCATCTCAAGAAAAGTCCCTCTTGCTACTGTGTTGACACTGCCACTTTCTACTATTATACACCAGACTTTTCCCTTCATAACTTTAAATGCTCATGACATAAAGTGTTACTTCAAGTATAAGATTAAATCATATTACAGAATTATCCTAGCTATCCTAAAAGTAGTAGTGCTAGACAATTCAAGCCAGAAAGGACCTGCTGACCACAGAAGTTGATGTCCATTGTTGGAATCTAGGCATTTCAGCCATTTTTACACTTTAGAATTTTGTAAGGCACCATAAAAAAATTTGTCATAAGTTGAGACTAGTAAAAAAAAAAAAAAGTAAGAAAGAGATTATGCCCAGAGTAACTAGCAGCAACTAGAGGTACCACTTAAGGGAAATCTCTCTCCAAAATGTTTCTACCTGCTAAGAAATGGGCTTAGATAACCTAACATGATACACTGACATCTTCTGTTTAATTTCCATAATAAACCTAATGTGTTAATTATTGCATATTATCCAAAAGCACTGCCTGAATAATCTCCTTTGCATCAGTGATTACCCACCCCCATGGTGACACCTCTAGCACAGAACTCCCTTTTGAATTCCACACCAGGACACAGTTAAATGCTAAATAAATACCTCGGGATGTCCCATAGGACTTTGTTGAATTCATTATGTATAAAATGAGCAAGTTCTCCTTCCTCTCCCACTTTCCAAACTACTCTTCTTCCTATACTCCCCATCCTTGTTAATGGCACCACCTAGCACATACTAGACAAGCCTGGGGATTACACTAGATTTCTCCCTTTTCCTCCTCCTCAACTCCCACGCAGTCAGTCACCAAATCCTGCCAGATGCATCTATTTTAACACTAGCCACCCTCTCTGTCTCTATCCCCACTGCTACAGCCTTAACACAGCTGTATCATCTCTAGTCCAAACTGGTCTTGCATCTACCTGATCTTCTATACTCCTGCCAGAGTGACCACCTAGCACCCTCCCTAAAACCCTTCAAGAACCCTCTCCTTGTAGCTAAAATAAAGCCCCAAATCCTTAATATGATATTTAAGTCCCTCCAAGATCTGGCCCCTGATTTCAACTCACATCAAACCCCACCTGGCAATCCACGCCCCAATCATACCAAACTACTTACAGTTCCCAAAATTGCCATCTTCTTTTATACCATCTATCTTTGCTCCTCTCCCTCTTCCCAGAACATCCTTCCCCATCTGTTTGTTTTTTCTTTTTTTAATGAATAGCCTCCATGATGCTTCTCCTTCCATTTCAATCCTCCAGCATAATCACCCATTGCCTCCTTTGTGATCCAACTGTACTTTAGGCTTTTGTCACAGCAACTGTCACACTTAATACTGTATACTTGTTTACCTCTCTGTTTCCCCTTGGGCATAGTCTAAGAAGTCCCTGAGAGCAGAGATTATGTTTATTCATTCATTCAATTTTTTATGGCTGGCATGTTATATACTAACTGGAACAAGGCAAAGTATCCAATAAATGACTGGTCAATGAACGAGGAATGTGATAAACAAGAGAAACCACCGCTTCAGGTAAGTTTGGTAAACTCATTCTAACTTCACTAATATGTGCAAAATCCTTTAAAAGAATAAATTCTTGTTTATACATAATTTCAACAACCAGTAAATTGCACCTGGGGTGGGGAAGTAGGGACACAGTCTATATTTTTATGAGCAAACAAGGTTTTATCAGGGAAAAATTTTGTAAAGTAACTCAGGATAGTGATGGATTTAGCCTAATTCTCTATACCTACTACAACTATAGTCTAAATTCATAACACATGGGCAGAGCCCAGTGGGGCGGGGGGCAGGGCAACCTAGAGCACCTCAGGAATGAGGGTCCCCACTTTCCCAGCGCGGCTGCCGGGTCAGGGGTCCTGGGGGGCCCGAGGGGGAGCTGGGATATGCTTGCCTCCCTGCTCAAGGACCGGGGTACCAGGCTTCTAGAATTCATTATAAATGCACCACGAATGATAAACGGCTAACTTGAAAAAAAAATCATAAAATATGTTCAAAATGTTAAGGCACTGTAAGATACTGAGATGCCATTTGAAACATCAAAGGAAGGAAAACTATGTTTACTACAGCTCTGACGTTAAGTCTACATTATTATATTCTAATTCTCTGAAAACTGAAAATTCACATATAGTTAAGTTCTTTTTATCCAAAACGTTAAGGAAAGATATTCTGATTAATTGAATATTGGATTATTACATAAACTAAGGGATACCCTACTGATCTGAAAGAGTTTATAATCTTCCTAAGGCCTAAACTTTCTACTAGGGAAGGATATGAGCACGAAAGGGAAGGAAGGGCCACTACTCCTCAAATTAAACAATTCCATTCAGCACACTGAGTAAATTTATATAGTACTAAAATCACCAGTCCATGATCCCACTGTTAAAAACTCTTACTATGAATCCAAAATGAAATGGAAAGGCAAGAATGGTAATGGAATCTTAGTACCTTCACTCCTTCTGAGAACTTGTTAAGTATGTTATAAGGTTTTATTTTGAAAAGTTAACCATCTTTTTTTCTTTTAGAGGAGGCATATGCTGAACAAGTCTATGCTGAAAAGCTCCCAGAATTAAAAGTTTTCTTAGTATCTTAGCACCTCAGTATCTGTTTTTAAAAAAAATTGAATGTGGACATATTTTAAAGCCAATCTAATATTATTATAAAAGTATCATCTTATACAAGGTATCAGGTTCTATGTATTCATACTAGACTGTTACCAGATACTCTACTTTTGTTTCATAATATACTCCTGAAAATGCATATATGATGACTAGTTGATAAAGTATAAAAATGCCATATATGTAAAAGCTAAAAAGATGGATGAGAGGAATTATACGCTGAAGTCTAAAAATACTTATAAAAAATCCCTAATTATTTCTTGTCTTGTGAATATAATTTTGACCACTGTATTCCCAGCAATTCATACATATTCTTTCATTGTTTCTTTCCTTACACTTGAATTGCAGCCAATCAGGTTAAGCGTGATGAGACTGATGACTGTCACCTGATGGTTTCCAACTTTGTCTCAAGTATATTAAATTTCTGAGACCTGTACATCTTATCAATAGTCAATGTTTTTGTTCCCTGCTCATTTTTATAAAATGAGACTAAAATGCAATAAAATACTCAAATTAGACTAGAGAAATCAACTGATAAGCATCTCAAAAGGCAATACCTCAAAATGTTTATTCACTAGCTCATATACTAAAATTTGGTGAACAATGGATTGGGGAGTCAATATATGTTGTACAAAGATACCTACACCTACTTAAGCAATGAGAGGTTTCTGGAAAAGGCGATATCATTTGGAAAGAAAAAGAGACAAACAAAAGAAAAATAAGTGGAACTAAATCTTCAAAGTAATTCTCTAAATAGAAGTGTTTGCTGTCTCTACCAGGGATAGGATAAGTGACAACTGGAGTTCTTTAGGAAAGACAGAAGTGATGACTCCATGAGAAAATAAAGCTACCAAGAACAAAAGAAACTGCCCTTTAATTATTCTTGATGTTACCCTACCTCAAAAGGTAACAACTATAAGTATGTGTATGTATATCAAATGAAATTCCCAAACAAGTAAATCTGAATAAGCTTGCATAATCTGTTGGTGCCAATAAAAATTTAAACCACTCTACATACTATATGTCGGGTATTATTTACATCAACTTTCCCTTACAGTGCTTAGACTATTTCCTTTTTGCTTAACAATATCCAGAAATGTCACCAAACTACGGTTATATTTTAAAATCTAAAAAGAGGAAGTCCTTATCTTTTACAGATACATACTAATGACTAGGATTTGCTTCATAAAATTCAGGAGTGGGTAAATGCAGAGATGAAATAAGACTGACCATGTGTTGTAACTGCTGAAGCTGGGTGACAAGAGACTTACATGGGGGTTCATTATCATATTTTCTTTATCTGGGGATGTATTTGAAATTTCCTATACTAAAAAGTTTCTTAAATTACCAAGAGAGGTTAACTGTCTTCCTCCAGCAATGTTTAAGACAAGGTATATTACTTAGTAGAATGGGATTCAATTACAGTCCTCCCTTGGTATCAGTGGGGGGATTGGTTCCAGGACACCCCCACAAATACCAAAATCCACAGATGTTCAAGGCCCTTATAAAGTGGCATAGTATTTGCTTATAATATATGCACATTCTTCCATATACTTTAAGTCATCTCTAGATTACTTATCTCATACAATTTAAATACTATGCAAATAGTTGCCTGTGTGTGGCAAAATTCAATTTTGCTTTTTAGGAATGTTCTGTTTTTGTTTTTTTTTAATATTTTACATCCAAGGTGGTTGAATCTGAGAATGCGGAACCTGCAGATACAGAGGGCTGATATATGTTTGCCCAAGAACACTTCTGATGCTGTGAAGAATCTTTCATACAGTCCCCAAGATAAAAATAACTACCCCCTTTCTCTCTGTAGATCTAATTCCTACTTAATCTTCAAGACAATTTTAAAATCTTTTTTGTTGTTGTTGTTGTTTCAGTTTTTTGTTTGTTTTGGGAGAGGGGTAATTAGGTTTGTTTGTTTGATTGTTTGTTTTGTTTGAACGGAGGTATGGGGGATTGAACCCAAGACCTCCTGCCTGCTAAGCAAGGCATGTGCTCTATCACTGAGCTACACTCTGCCCCCAAGACTATTTTAAAATCTTATCTCTTCTTTCAAATTCATAGTGGTCCTCTGAATTCAAAAGCATGTCCTAACCATGCCATTTGGCACTAGGATTTTGCCGTGAAGTGATCTCTTTATTCACATTTATGTATCTTTGGTTTGCACAACTAGATTGCAAGCTCCATGATGGTGGGAACCATGTGCTTTATTTCTTCCAACGCCTTTGTAATACATTGTATAATGGTAGGTAGTTGATATATATATATTTTTTGATAGACTAAGCTTGATAATTTGCCCATCCATGAGGGACCAGAGAACGTCTGCCAGGATTACTTTTATAGTTGCCTTGCCTAATCTCCTCTGACTCTAACTACACTGTCTTTTGGTAAGCATGTACCAGGACCTTGTGCTAAACAGTGTGGATAAATAAGATGAAAGAACCCTGTAACTTACTTTCAAGGAACTCAGCGGAGAAGAGGAAGAGAGACAAGGAAATGGCAAATTGTTGTAATAAGTATTAAATGACAAATACAGCACACAATACTTATAGAGATGAAAACAGCTCTGAGAGACTGAGGTTGAATGTTCCATTGTGCCAGGCCACCTTAAAGTTAAAACTTCCCCGCTCTTTAAACCTCCCCAGTTTTTCTAAATATCTAAATCTCTAGTCACTTACCCTTGTTGCACAGGCTGTAACTGCAAGATCACTTGAGTTTTAGTGTCTTCAGGGTTCTCCCCTTCATTTCCTTCAGTGGGTACCACAACCACATCCCCCACTGGGACACTCACTTCTGCATTAGCCATCTTTCACATGAAGTCAGATAGCTGTGACTGCTGTCAGAAACAAGAAGTACCAGTAACTTTGGTTTGAAAAGATGGCAACCACAGGAGAGGAACACTAAGATAATAACTATTAATTCCAAGGGCATCTTGGAGATCAGAGTCCTCTGAAAAGGATGGGAACTGTGAGAAGGGGCTGACATAGGTTCTGATCTTTCCAGAAATACCTTAGTACTCACTTGCTACTGTAGGTTTTCTTAGTATATGTGACTCACCCAGTGGTGTGCTGGAGCCAGCTCTATCAGCTCCTGAGAACTGACTGTGCACATTTCTTCCCAACTCCAAGTTTACTGACATCAAATTGGGCAGCACAAAATCAGTGATGCTGGGAGTATATATACCATAGAAGCCGGCAAGCACTACAAATCAGGGTATTTTTTTCTTCTAGAGAGCTGGTTTACAGCACAACACCAGTTCCATCTCCAACAGTAAGTGCCTAGAAAGTAAGAATCACCTATTTTCTTGGCAACCAGCCATTACACCTCATCAAGTGCACTGTCCTTTGAGTTCTTAATAAGTATCTGCTGACTAACTAAACTAAGCTCAAGGGAAGAGAAAGATGATCTGCATTGTGTGGTTGTTTAATAAATGCTGAATCCAATTGTATGACCTCCAGGGACATCTTACTACCTCTCTGCCTCAGACTGAATGGAGATATGATCTTGCCTGACATCTCCCTTGCAGAGCTGTTGGGGCAACTACTGTTCAGCACCACAGAGTAACTCAGAGAATTATCTCAATCTTAATGAAAACTCAGAGGGCCCCAAGATACTCTGCAGTATTAGTCTTCACAGTTGAAAAGTCATTTTAGAGATTATAGATAAGAGCACTGTATTTACTTAGATATTTGAGTACTTAAAGATGATTAGGACTGTGCTGAACTGTGTGTAGACTCACAATGGGTGCGAGTTTGAATATGTAACTGGTACTCAGACAACTGCATCCACATCTCAGCTCTGCCACAGCAATTCTTTGCCTACATCACACTTAAACATAGCACTCAAAGTCTCCCTCATTTGGCCCCCAAATTTTTTTCCCAGTTTTATCTGCAACTATAATACCCCAAGAATCTTAAGTTCCAGCCATGCCAACTTCCTACTGAATTCTGAACAAATAATACGTACTTTCAGGTTTCTGTACCTTTGTTATTCCATAAGCCCCAAACTCCTTTCTTCCTCATCTCCTCCTCCCTTTGAGGCTCAGTTCAAAAGCTCACTCCTCCACAAAGCCACTGCTAAGCCATTTTCCTTTCTGTAGTACCTCAGTACCTGGCCTGCAGCTCTCCTCTGGAGTTTATCACGCTGTGCCTTGCATTGCAGGTAACTAATCAGACATCTACCTTCATAGCTGCACTGTATACTCTGTGAGGGCAGGTGCTGCTTATCTAAAAATCTTGCCTCCCACAGCCCTGCTATTCACACTGATATATGTTGGTTCAAACAATTCTTGTTTGTACTTGACCTAGTTAATATTCCTCATATCTGACTTAGACTTCTGCTCTTATGATTCTCACATTCAAACCTTTTTTCCTTACTTCAACACTTCTTATATCCAAAAGCCTCTTAAAATATCTTGTAGGCACTTCAAACTGAACTCCTGTTTCCTCTCAAACCTGCTCCTTTGTTTCCTGCCTCAGTAATGGCACTACCCTCCACCCTTTTTCTCAAGCCAGAAACTAAGTAGATATTTTTAACTCCTCTTTCTAAATTCACCACATCCTATCCATTCTATCCCCTGTGTATCTCATTTAACCAACCCCCTACTCTCCAGCTGCCACCACCACATTCTGAGCACACACTGTTACCTGGATTTTTCCAGCTGCTTCTCACCACTACCCTAAATCTCTGGTCTTGCTCGACAATCTATTATCTACAGAGCAAAATGATCTTACTAAAGGCAACTTCCCCCACTTAAAAATCCTTCAGTGCATTCCCTTTGCTGTTAGAATAAAGTGCAAACACCTTAACGTGGCTTACAGAGCCCTCTGAATCTGTCCCCCACCCACCTTGCTAGTCTCATTTCCCATAGTTTTTCCTCTCACTTTGTAGGCTCCTGCCATTGCATTTTTTCCAATTTCTCAAACGTGCCATATTTCCTCACCTGAGCCTTCACACTTGTTTGCTCTATGTGGAATTCTCGTTTCCTTCCTCTTCGGCTAGTCACTGCTAAACTTTTGTGACTTATTTAAAACATCACTTCCTCAGAGAGGCCGTCTGTGACTTCTCTGACTAGATCTGAGTGGTATTCTTGCTCCCTCAGCACCTGCAGCACCCTTGTCACAACCATCATCCCACTCTGTCAACCTCTCCCCACCGGACCACATCCTGGGAGAGCAAGGATAGCTCTTCTTTTCCAACAGGCTCCTCCATGCTAACTCAGTGCTCAGGACACACACGTGTAATAAACAGTTTTCAAATATCAGACTTCTAGTTACAAAACCACCTACCTAAGACTTTCTAAGAAAACCTGATACATAGCAGGTATATAATAAATTTTTGTGCAATGAGTGACTCACCTTACCCTAAAATACTTCTAGAAGTTTCTACGTTTTTAACTTAGGGAATATAAATTTGCTCAGGCTAAGCTGCCTTGCTTATTGCCCATCACTATGGCCAGTTCAGCAAGTATTTATTGAGTCTCTACTACACGTCACACAGAATTAGGGCCCTTGGACATAAAAAGGGATAGTTATCAGCTCATAAGGAATAGTATCAGCTCATAAGGAACTATGGAAGGGAAAGAGATGCATGACATTGTCACATGCTAGAGAAAATTGCAAGATGTTACAATATACAATCTGAACTTCTGTGAATTAAAGGTTTAAAGCTAGGGGGTAGAAAAAAGAATCAATGGACTGGGTTTGGCTGGCTGCCAGCAGTAAAACTAAAATGATTAGGACCCTTGAGTCTAGAAGCCAATAAAGGATATGATGTAGCATAAAAATGTTATCAAATTCTAGGATAATTGAACCAACAGATATCTTCAAAGCTTGAAGCATAAAAATGTAGGGTGAATTTAAATAACCACATCTAACATGTGTTGGACAACTTGTTTGCTGTCAAGGACTATTCTGTTACTTACTTAATAAATTTAAAAGATGTAATACTTCAGCATGTATCAATCGTAGTGAATTTATTATTCCAAAAAGTGGTTTAAATGTTAAAAAATTAATAGCTAAGATAAATTAATGAGGTAGAGAAGCAAAATTAGACGGATGCTTCTAGTTTCAACCTTCTACCTTAAGGCTGAGTCCTCTCTACAACACCCTTCATAAGTGGTTGACTTCTTGATTAATACGTTCCTCAATAGAAACTCATATTTTACTCCTGACCCCTCCCACACCTTGGAACTGAAGAGGAATGTTCTGGCTGCTTCTCTAACCTTCTGAGAGTTTATCAGAGATGATTATAATCATTCACAATGTCTCCCAGTGTCAGTTAGAGACACAGGTCTGATCCAAGATGGCAATTCTTACATTCTTTGGAGAAGCAAGTTTGGGTTGAATACCTCTTATTATCCTAAATACAATATTCCTAGCAAGTAACCTGAACCAGCTCTGCAGACTACACTGGCTAATTGCAAGGTCATCTCTTTGAGCTGAATGTAAACTGAAAAGAAGCTCTTGTTTATAGCAACAAAAACTCCTAAGGCAAGATGAGTTGCTCTTTTGGGTATTTTATGGAAGGAGCCTAGAGTATTCATTGTGGAATCACACAACATTCTGTAATTCTAGTACACACATGAAAGAAATACGTCAAATGAAAAGGGAGAATTATTTGTAGTATAAGACTCCTTGAAAATAAGCACATGACTAGTCACATAAACTATTGAGAAATGAAAGAAATGACATATGACCTACTCTGGATTAAACTCATTTTGTGTCCCCAGAACTGTTTAAATATGGCAAGATGTAAGCACAAATGCCACACAATCACTTGAGCATCAGAGTTGGTACCTGAAAAGGAATAATAGAAATACCAGATATCCTGAAATTTTCTAACCCCAAAATGCATTTATTCTGTATTGTAATTTTTGTAGACTGTGTAGTCTGTTCTTAAGAAATTTCCAAGTTAAAATTTTATTGAGGCCAAAACTCCTTGATTTTTTTTTCCCTTCTTTATTCCTTCTCATGTATTTAGCAGGTGATCACTAGATGTAATGAAGCCAACAAGATCACTACACAGAGCCACTGTAAGGGAAATATCCAGAGCAAATGAAGTTTGGGATAAATCACAAATTGGTAACTACTATGTAAGTGTTTGGAGAAGCAACAGCATAAAACGGTTTTCTATAGTCAAGGGGACTTCAGCTTAGGACAAGATCAAAATATGGCCCAAACTAAATCAATGAAGTTGAGTACAAGTTAGCTATTAAATATGTTTGTTGAAGTAAATATGAGTAAGTGGTTGATTAGCAACTAATGAAAAAGTCATCAAGTCAGTAGACATTAAATATATATGATTGGTAAAAAGCTGACTAATCAGGGGAGTCAGTCCAAACATTTAATGGAAAAGTCCCCCCAAAGCACTTTGGTAACCATTAGCAGAGGCAAACCAACCCTTCTGTGAGACTACAATTATCTGATCCTTTCCTTAGTCCTCCAGGTTAAGGTAGAAAACCCCACTTTTTGGTTCTCCTAAACAGACTCGAGTCAAAGCCCCTTTTGTGTGTGTTGGGATGTGTTTTTTAATCTTGAGAGGAGAATGCAGGTCTCCTACTGCTCCTTTGAGAATTAAGCTCTCTCATGATCCCCAGGTCAAGACTTGAGCTGCCTTAGTCTGGGTGGATCACACTCCAGGATTCTCAAGTAAGAGTCTGCCTTTACCTTTCCTGCCCCTCAGTGAGGAGACACCAGGCCAATTCCCCCGTCATTTCAGAAAGGAGTACTCTTCTCTTCGGTCCTCAAAACCATGGGTTTCCCTACCCCCTGACATACCAGATTACCCTGTTCTCTACTTACAATATCAGGAGGTACTCAAATCTCTAATTTATTCCCTCACAGATCTGGACCCTTTCCATGCCTTCCTCTGGAGACTCAGGTGTCTTCTTTATTGCCGTCTCGTCTCGGGGAGGGCAGGGCCTGCTCGCTTCCCTCAGGAGCCCTTCTTCTTTGTCCCCTGTTCCCATCATGCAGACCTGTCACCACGCCTTTGGGGAAACACCTGCCTCTTTTCCCCTGAACTGAATAGCCGGGGCCTCTAAGGCGCCCCCGAGTGAAGCCTGGAGCCTCCTTTCCTCAGCAGAACCCACTCGCAGCTCTTAGAGCTCCTCCGCCAAGGATCCGAGGGGTCCTCCTGGGCAGGCAGCGGACTTCCTTCACCGTTAGCCCCCCTTTCACCACCTCTCGACCCCGAGTGACCCAGGCCTCTCCCCAGCTCCTCATCGAAGGG